TGAGGAACCTGTGCATACATAGACCAAGAGTCAGTCGTTTGAACAGAACAAGGAAACACTGAGTGGTTTAAAATTAGGAAAGGTGCTTGATAAAGTAGAGGATCAGCAAAAGAAAGGAAGTCCCTTAACGAGATAGGCTGATCCAGAACAACTGATGAAAGCTAAAGGCCCTTATGATTTCTCTTTGTCTCAAATTGGACTATCAACAACATGAAGGCAAAACTCATGTTATTCATTATATTAGTTTCCAATACAATGCCTGTCATATGGGATGGTCTCAGAAACACTTGCTGTTGTTGAACCAATGACTGAATAAACAAAGACCTGATCAAGTGACCAATTTACATTTTGATTGTTAATTTACTTTTATAATTAAGATGTTCGTGAAATCAATTCAGTTCTTGCACACAGATTCAAGATGTGGGTAGGGGAATATCTTCACCCCCAACTCCTTATTTTACATGGCAAAATCGGTAGTCTAATATATGTGAGGCTATGTGGGATATGGAAGGAGCTCCGGTAGTGTAGTGGTTACGAATCAGGCTGCTAACCTCAAGGTCGGCAGTTCAAAACTACCAGTGGTTCCATGGGAGAAAGATGAGGCGGTCTGCTCCTATAAAGATTTACAGCCTCGGAAACCCTATGTAGGGTCACTATGAGTCGGAACCGACTCCATGGTACTTAGCAACAGCAACAATGTGGGATACGGAGTCCTGGTGTGGCACTGTGGGCCAATGAGCTGGCCTCATTGGTCCACGACTGCAAAGTCGGCCTGAACCTCAAGGTTGGTGATTCAAGCTCACCAGCCACTCCCTGGAAACCCATACAGGGGTGTCATGGGTCGGAATCTACTTGATGGCACCCAATAACAACAAATGTAAGCTCTAATCATGTACATGGCAGCTCTTTATGGTGGTAGTGGTGGTTATGTGCTATGGAGTTGGCTGTGACTCATAGTGACCCTGTATAGGGTTTCCAAGGGTATAAATCTTTAGGGGAGCAGAAAGCCTCATCAGTAGTTTCAAACTGCTAACCCTGTTATTAGCAGCCCGACTCATAATCATTACACTACCAGAGCTCTTTGCTTTTTATGGTAGTCATGTCCAAACCCATGGTTATCTGACTCTCAATTCCAGTCCCAAAGACTATCCTTACTTCCACGATTTGGAATTTCTTCTTCCCATATTTTATTGGATTCTGATTTCTCTAGGGCTGCCTTATGGAAATAGGTGATATGGGAATCTCAGCAGTGAGCACTGGCTTGCTCTTTTGACCTCTGTAACTCCTCCCACTGCCGTGCCTGCTGCTCACCCATGCAGTCCCTGAAGGCCTGCACCTGTGGTAGGCACTGCTGCCAGTCCTGATGCCGAGTCATGCACTCCTGCACAGCATAATGGAAGGCAGCACAGCCTGAATGGGAGATCAGCTGGTCCAGTGAGTTCTCTTCCTCAGCCTCGTCCGTCACCTGAGGGGCCCAAGTATGGACTTGAGGGACTGAGGTTGACATCTCAGAAACACTCCTACAGGCAAGAGAAAATAACTGGAATGCACACTCTTCTGCAAAGGCATCCATTTAGAGGTGGCTCAGATGGCCGTTGGAGTTTTCCAATCTGCTCCTGTAAAGATTTATAAACCTGGTAACCCTAAGGAGCAGTTCTACTTGGTTCTAGGGAGTTCATATGCGTTGGAATGTATTCAATAGCAATGGATTTGCTTTGAGTTTGGATATGGAATCAAAGTGACCACAACACCTAGAAAGATTAGATAGGAAACTTAGGAGGTAATTAATTTATGTTATTAGAGGAAAATCAAGTCAGTAGAGGAAGGTGAGAATGGTGGTTGTGCAACTTCAAAAATGCAATAAATATCATTGAATTGTGTTGTTGTCAGGTGCTGTCGAGTTGGATCCAATTTACAGAGAATTTATGAACAACAGAATAAAACATTGCCAAGTTCTGGGTCATCCTCACAGTCATTGTTATTCTTGAGCCAATTGCTACTGCTACTGTGCCAAACCATCTTGTTGAGGCTCTTCCTCTATTTTGCTGACCCTCCACTTTACCAAACATGATGTTCTTCTCCAGGGACTGGTCCCTCAGGAGAATATATTTAAGTATATAAAGTATGAGAGATGAAGTCTCACCATTGATGCTTCTAATGAGCATTCTGGTTGTATTTCTTACAACATAGATTTGCTTGTTCTTCTGGCAGTCCATGATACTTTCAGTATTCTTCTCTGAAACCATAACTCAAATGTGTCAATTCCTCTATGGTCTTCCTTATTCACTGTCCAATTTTCACATGCATATAAGGTTATTGAAAATATCATGGCTTGGCTGGAGCAGCTAGAAGAATAGAGGATGCCTCTTGAAAGAAAGACCTGCAGGAAAAATGGAGGCAGATGGGCTGTTACTACAAGAACAAAAAAATCGCTTCCCTAGAAAACATCAAGGCAAGTGGCCAGGTCCTCTCAACGCAAACCCCCTTCCAAGACTAAGACTCAA